TCACCTGTTATGCAAAGATTTAATTTATGGGGGGAGATGGGGAGAATTATTCTGCAGATGTCATGAATTTCTTGCCCTTTTATCCTACTCCCCTCCCCTTTTCTTCTGTTAGTCCCTTTGATTACATGGAGGAGGCCCAGGCAAATAAGAAGTCTAAAACAAAGTTATATGACTTCCACGACTTATCACCAACCAATTGAGCTCAAAATGTGAAAAACTGGAATGAAAATTTGCCATTCAACATTTCTGAAGACATCTTAATCTCTCGAGTAGTTTTTATGCAAGATCTAACCAAATACATATATGGGAAATATACATGCAAACATATCTATATAAAATTAGATGTTGTACAGCTGCCCACATTCCACAGATATTTCAGGGCAGGGAAAATAAACATACTACAATTAAATGACACTCTTTGGAAATATTTCACTTAAGTAGACAGCAGAGGGCAGAGTTTGCTTCTGAAAACTTTCAGATCACTCCTTTCTAATTTGCCTCATAATATCTAAAACTAGCACAGGATTTACCATGCTGAATATCACCATTTATTCTTCATATCCAATCTCTAGTCTCCAGGAGTGTCCAGTGCCTGTCTTCTGAGGAAGATTAAAATCTGTGCTAACCTAAATATCTAGGGGTATGTATGGAGAGAAATACCCTTCCTTACCCACTACAACAAGCACTTGCACACCAAAGCATGAGATGAGGCCACACACTGACATTAAATTTTATGCCTTTCTCCCGGTACAAAAAAAGAGAGCATCGCCATTCATGGGCTTTCCTGCAGAAGAAAAATAGCTGTTTCACAAGACAGTTCTAACTCTTCCAATCAGAAAAATCTTTCTGCTCTTGTACTAACATGAATGGCTGTATGCTTCTCTTGGGTGCTGAGGACACCCAATATCATCCATAGTTCTCTGTTCTCCTTCCCTTTCTCCAAGGGAGCCCAGGGGCAAACTGTCAGAAAGTCTTGTGGGAACTGTACCTCCTGTTCTACCAATCAACTGATTGGTGGGACAAGAGGGGCCACTCTTCTGCAGTAGGAATCCTCCCACAGTCCCAGGAGGGGTCGCAACACTGAAGAAGACTTCTTGCCATGTGCAGTCCTCTGGTTCAACCCAGAGGAGTGGTAGCAAGGGAGGCAGTTGTGCCTGGGGCTGGAGCTCCCCCAGAGCCCTGGGAGCAGTTCAACCCCAGAAGAATGCCCCCCTCCCCGCCCCCCCCATCAGCTGATGGGTGGGATGGGCAGAGGGATCATTCTTCTCCAGTAAAGCCAATAGGTAGCGTCTCAGAACATGATGCAGGATCTGGCCCTATATACATTTTCAGTGTCTGGTTTTCTATTGAAATCATTAGAAACCAATTAGTTTCTATAGTTTTTAAAAGTTTAACAAGAGTATTAAAGTTTAACAAGAGTATTAAAAATGTTCTATGACACTACAAATGTGTAAGCCTTGCTTGCTTCCCTTCTGCATCAGTCATATCAGCCTACTGACAGTGATTAAGGACTTTTAGTTATACTGTGTTGTTTCTCTAAGGTTAATAAGATCTACATATGGTAAACCAGGGACAAAGCTGAACCAGGTGGGACTGAGGCCAACTCAGCCACCCACACCACGAATGTCTGAAAACTAAAATTAACTCCTCCACCTAAAAAAACACCAAGATCATGAAACGGTTATGATTTCAAGCCAATCTTCTAGCAACATGGTATTATTTTTGTTTGCTTGAGCCTTTAGGTTGCTCTTCCTTCTGATTTTCAAGCGTTCTCTGATGACAAGAAACTTAGCCCTTTTATTTTTTACTGCAAGCTGAAAGTCCCAGCAGCTGAGAGTTTTATAAAAATACTAAATAATGCAAGACTCATGATAAAATTACAAGAGCTGGCAGGACTAGTAGAGTCATAGTTAAAATGTGAAGTTCGGTACAGGGAGAGAGGTGTCAACAGGAACAACATGAGGAATATGAACCAGCCATTTTAGGTTTCAGCAAGCAAAACAGTTGTCTTGTCAGTCAAGACTGGTCCATAGCTTTTTAAATGGAAGTCCTAGGATTACTTCAAAGGTTGGCAGATGAGACACTAAAAGGTCATAGCTCTGAAATCTGGCTGTCCTGCCAAAGGGATATTTTTTTCTGGGTTGGTGCCATGCTCACCTCGCAGAGAAAAAATAGTTTTCATAGCCAGAAAACTGTCATCAATTATCTGATGTAATAAAAGATACTGTAACATACTTTTCCAGATTATATTCCTCTTGTATCATTCAAATAGGGAAGGATTTATGTTTCTTTGGGGCGTTATTCTTTATCTTTTGTTTGTTTCAATTATGTATTAAAGCATTACACAATATTAGGACAATTTATTGTCCTGATATTCTGTTTGAGCAGAAGGCCTATTACATGAATTAATTCAATACAAATGAGAAGCTCTGAACTCCTTGTGGAACAATATTATCAATGTTGGTGTTTTGCTTTTTTCACTGGTTTATGTCACGCAGATTTCAACACCAATGCTATGGCTAGAATGGAAATAAAGAAACTTTTTCTGAGTTATTTTAAGGGAATACTATTGACACTAGAGCTGTTCAAGAGCTCAAATAATGCTGTGGAAAGTTCCAAATCTCTGAAAAAGAGATTTTCTTTTGACACAAAATTGACACAACAAGTGGAATTTCATTGTTTCCCATGGAAGAGAAAGTCTACTGAACATTTGTTATGAAAAACCAAAACATTTCATTTAAGGAATTTAACATCAGAATGAGCCTGTGAGCCTATGTCCTGAGGCTTGAGCTCAGCTAAAGATCTCAGAACTTCTATGCTCCTGGCTCCCCATTAGCACAAACGGACTGCCAGGGAACTGGAAGTATGAAGATGAGGATGCCAGTCTCTTGGCCCTGCAGCTGAGAGCATGAAAGACCTGAGAATCCCAGCATGAACTGTTGTTTTCAGAGCTGCCAGGCTTTCTGCTGCAGTGTTATAGCACATACGGCAAGAAGCTGGGACAACTAAGGCTGCCAGTCCCAACCTCAAGAAGGTTTCTTAAGGCTTGCATGCTCTTTTTTGATCTTGTGTGTCAAAAAGATCCTGACAGGCAGTTATAGCCAATTCTTCCAAGGTTTTCCAAGCTGGCAGGGTCTACACTCCTTTTCAAGGAGTCTAAAAGGCTGAAGGGTCCTTTGTTTTCAGGGCTTTGGGATGCCCCAGTAAGGTAGCTAAAGCTGGTGTTCCCAAGCTTTCAGATTCTGTGACAGGTAGTCTGATATTCCTGGTGGCCCTGACCTTGGAGCAACCTTCCTTGCCAGGGTCTCTTGAGGGGCCCCTCATCTAAGTAAGAAATTCTGTGGTAGGGCAAAAAATTAATCTTCTCTCGGTTGCCTGCTGAGTGAGTGGACAGGAAGTCAGTTGGGTAAATGCCTTTATTCTGGTAGAAGTTTCACTGATATTGTTCTGAAACTGAAATATTTCGGTTTCCACAAATCAGTTTTTTTCTGGTGAATATTTGTTTTGTTTGGAAATTGTCGACCAGACCCAAGACATGTATCGCAATATGCTGTACATTTACAGGAATCAACATGACAAATTCCAAAGGATAAGAAATGACGGCAACATGGCAGTATCTTAAATTCCTTTCTTCAGCTGCATATGTCTGTGTGATGCTGATAGCAATTTACTACCAAGAAAAAAATGTCAGAAATAACAGGAAAATGTAAACAGGTTTACATTTTTGCAACTCAGGATGACAGGGCAGTGTTTAAATAGCATGTATTGAACCTTAATTTATATTGAAATAATTATTGGCTTGATTTCCTATTTTCAATTAAAGTAGATACATACAGAGATATTAGCAAAAATATTGAATTTTATTGCAGATTTTGGAAAGTGCAAGGTCTTATAAATGGAGTCCTACTACTAAGCATTTAAAGACCTGTTTTTTCAGTTTTTACCCAAGGAAAATCCCATTGATATAGCAGGATCAGGCCAACACACATTGTTATGGGGAGCGGAGAGGATATCATCATACTTAATGCACCTGAAATTACTGGAAAATAGTGATATAGGACCTTTTCAGGACAGTACTTAAACACATACTTAACTTTAATCATGTGCTTAAATGTGGTCCCAAATAGAGATATATTCATGATTAGGGGCTGGAATGCCTAGATTAATGCCCTAGATAAATATCTATAGGTTATTGTTAAAAACTATTTGTAATATAAGATATTGCCTCCTGCAGAAAAAAAAATTCATGGATCTCTGAGGATCTGTTTGTGGAGTCTGCCCCCGACCCACTTTATGCTGCTGTGGAAGACTGAAGTTAGTATTGCTCCCAGGAAAATCTGTCTCAAACCTTATACATTCTCCTGAGTCTGCAGACCCTGAGACCTGTATATTTGGAACTGAATTATTTCGAAGAACACTGCTGTTAAAAATATTAAGCCTGTATTTGAAATGGTCATTAACAAATTTATCCTAAAAAATTAAGTTTCTGTTATTTATTTTAAAAAATACTAAAGCTAGAGTTCTTAAATATGAGTGCTCACAATTAGGCTCATGCATCCATATTTAAAATACCTGAATAAGTGACCTAGATTTTCAAAAGTTTTGAGCATCCACTGAATTCAATGCAAGTTGCAAATTGCACTGTCATACTTAAAAGCAGATTTTAGTTCTGGATGTTTATGGTTGTGGTAAACATAACCTTTGTCAACATTTGAACAAATAAAAGATTTCAGTTTTAAAAGTCCTATCCAACTTTACAACTATTTAATTCACTATACTCAGCAAATCACAATTCAAATAATACAATTGCAACTTCTTTTTTTCCTTTTTACAATCATTTCTTTTTATTATGGCTTCTCATATCATTCTGAGATCTCATGACAGCAATAAAGGCCTCTTAAAAATATATTGTCGTGTCTATCATGTGGTCATATCTATAAATCCCTAGACTGTTTATGGCAGAAATTCAGCAGTAAGGTGAAGCACTGATCTCATTGCAGAATCGCCTATTATCAGAACCACCAAATTGTGAAGAAAACAAGATCTCACAAGCAAAAGACCATGGCAACTCTGAACTGGGGTTATGAGGGCAGCAATGGTAAGGATAAGTTTCCTTAACAGCAAATTTATTATACTGGCAGAGGTTTTCTTTTCTTTTACATAAAAGGAGATACGAGAGATTTGTCTAGCTGTGCAAAATTCTATATGTGACAATTTAAAATGATTTAATTTATTACTTACACCTGCCATACCCAGGGATGATGTCATAATTCAGTATTAACACACAGGAACTAAAGTGGAAGGTAAAAACTAAATACATGTATTTATGTTTGTCTAGGACCTGACCAATGGCACAAATTATACCCTATTGCCAGTGGAGATCATCAGTCTCCTATTGATATCAAAACCAAAGGAGTAAACAAAGACCCATCTCTAGGGCGTCTCCAGATCACTTGGAATTCAGGCACATGTAAAGAAATCATCAATGTTGGACACTCCTTCCATGTGAATTTTGAAGACAAGGATAATCAATCAGGTTAATGAAGTTTTGTTTTTTCATTAATTCCCATTGAAAACAAAGGTAAATGGATCAGAGGTGTAACTGGGTAGTTCCATGCTCTGGGCAGCAGAGGCATAACAGGATACGCTGCTGCTGCAGGGTTAATGTGGAAGCTGATGCCAAAGCTGACATTCTGCAGCAAAAAAAGGAGACAGAAGGGTTAACTTACTCTCAGCACCAGTGGTTTGTTCTGGGAGTGAACTTCTGGCTGTCACCCAGTAGTGAAATAGATTTTCAGAAGCATAAATATCCATTCAAGTGTGTCAATTTTGTATGTTATAACATGCAGTACTGTCACTTTATACATCTTGGAGGATCTCAAATATTTCAATTTAAAATTATGATTAATTGGCAAGTGTTTCATTTTTAAAGGCAGGCACGTTTCTTTGGGTAGATGTGATATCTTTTATTAGACCAAGTGAGTAGTTGGAAACAAGTTCTTTGCAAGCTTTCGGGAGCAATCACCCTTCTTCTCCCCCTTGCAATCACCCACCCTCTCCTTGGAGTCTCAGAACAGCAAAGACTCCCTACGCCTGACGAAGGGTAATTGCACCCAAAAGCTTGCTAAGAACTTTTTTCCAACTATTCAGTTGGTCTAATGAAAGATATCACATCTACCCAAAGAACCTTGCCTGCCCATGTCCTTAGACCAACACGGCTACAACCAAAAACCCATTTTTAAAGAGAGTGTTATAGTGGTGCTGCCGCCATGACGGTCCAGGAATTGTGAGAGAGGCAAGGATTTCTTAGGGTGGTGTCTTCTTATTAGTCCAACTGCATAGTTGGGATAGAGTTAGACAAACTTTTGAATGCAAGACGAATGTCTTGCATTTGAAAGCTTGTTTAACTCTATTCCAACGCTGCAGTGTGCCCAATAAAAGATATCACCCTAAAAAATCCTTAGGTCTCCCATTTTTACAGGAAAATACAAGCTTTCCCATTTAGCCTGGGAGTTTTCAGGTGGTAAAATATCTATGATTGCTGCTGTTTTCTGGTCAATTACCTATCAGTTGTTATCTACCATTATATAAATTAAGGATTTTTTGTTGCTTTGAAAGGAAGACTCCATTTGCTGGTTTTGATTTAAAATATGTGCCTTGCTTGAATCATTCAGGCATGTGATTCTTAACATCATGTGTATGCATATGCAAATCCATATCAGCCAGACTTAGTATTATACCTTTGCATATTAGTAATTAGAGCATCACTTCTGGTGACCTACATCATCAGTTACAATGACATTTAGACTCACCTGCAAAATCTTACCAGAATAAAAGCAAGACTCAGAGAATATCTTCGACACACAATTGTCTTTTGTTGCACAGAAAGGCAATTTCAAGATCAACTCTTGTCTTGTTTCACACATCCTCCAGTGATGAAATACCTCCCATGCTAAGAAGGAATGGACTCAATGATCTAATAAGACCTTTCCATCTTTTCTACTGGGATCCTAGTTCTGTATTTAAAAAACTGCTGCTACAAAGTATTCTTCTTTCCTTTTGTTTTCTCTTTTTCTCTCCAAATATAATTTCTGTTTACAATTATTTGATGTAATTTTTTTAGCTGAATCTGGGCAGAATACTGATTTATTGTAATTAAATTCAGGAATACATATCAGAAATTTTTCATTTCTAAGGTTTTAACAATACAAAATTCTTTATGATGAAAATTGTGGTTTGAAATTATCTATAAATAGTTCCAATATAGCAATGTTTAGCAGAGAAGTGTTTGCATGTTGCAATTACTTTACTGCATTTGGATTTGATTATAACAAGTTATTTTATGTGTTTGCAGTGGTGACTGGTGGACCCTTGACTGGAAGCTACAGGCTGCGTCAGTTTCATTTTCACTGGGGCCCAGTTGATGATCGTGGTTCTGAGCACGCAGTGGACGGAGCCAAATATGCATCAGAGGTAGAGTCAATGAAAGAAAAGTCAAGGTCATACTTTCAAAGACTGAGTAATCAATTTCACCCTCAGAACAAACCACAATGCAAATATGCATGCCAAATTCTATGTAAAATCTGCATCTTTATTTATTGCTCATGTAAATGCATCCATTTGTGCAAGGAATAACCTGTGCCTTTTGTACATATTTTGCAACATAAGTTAGGACTTGAGACCAATCTCTACAATTTGGGTGCCTAAATTTAGACCATATAAATCTATATTTAAGTGCCTAAAAACAGTTGATTGCTGAAAACACACAAGTATAGACATTTAGTCTTGAGTAGTCCCACAATGTCAATGAGGCTACCTACATGAGCAAAGTTAGTCATACACATAGCTGTTTACAGAATCAAACTCTAATCTGGCAGGTTATTAGAGGGTCTGATCACCCACAGCTCCACTAAAATTGAGACCTGTATATTGTGCTTTTTCTCTTCTCCTAGGAGAGAGAAAAGAAAATCAGAAGAAAATAGGGAAAGAAAGGGTTTATAAAAAGATGCAGTTAATAGGGCTTTTAAGTGCTGTCAGATATATTATCTTCAGTTAACGGAATTCATAAAGAAATAAAGGCTGCTCCTAAGCTGACTGCTTGCAGTTGCTTTCCAGTGTCTTATGAACATGACAAAAACAAATCAATGTAACTATCTTTAGCTACTATTTATATTTTAGAAACATTATTGCATGTGAATCTAATGATACAAACTGGTGTATCTGTTTGCAGGTTAGGCATTGCCTCACAGAATCAACAGAGTCGTCTTTTCCAATTTTGTTTGGAAATGCAAAATTTTCCACTGTTGCTGGTATAGAGCTATCTCATTTTATGCAGACAAGATATGAAAGGGGGTGTCCCTTTAGAATTCCTGCTATAACTAGATAACACACTTGGATTGTGTTTGAGGGAAACACAAGTAAAATCTTTATTATAGATTGGTTTTTTTTCCTCCTTTAAACCACAATCTTTTAAACAGATGGTGTGTAGTATGATCATTTCCATGCTTTGTCCCTTATTGATCTATAATTTTCATTTTTTAAAAGTTGTCATCTTTCAATAAAATATTCTATACCATTTATATGTGGTATATATACTACAACTTTATATTTAAATAGTGGCTAAGGAATTTCTAAATTTTTTATTGAGTGAGCACCTCCTGTGTGTTTAATAGATGCATGTATGAAAATAGTGTTTGCAGAGATAAAGCTTAAAGAAAAATTGCACTTATGGCATCCACAACAGCCAGTTAATGGAATGATTAGATCACAGGTTTTCAACCTCATTAGACTCAAGGCACCTCTCAGAAAGTGCCTGCTCTTAGTTTCCACTCAACTTTTGACCACAAGAAATATACTAGAGCAATTCTTCTGCTACAAAGAACGCAGGTAGCCAACAACAAGGCAAAATGCTTTTAACAGTGTAGATTCATATTGAAAACATCTGGGTTTCTCATGTTTGCACACCTAACAATGCTAACCTTGCACGGTACCCCATGGCACCCTTGAAAGTATCTCAAGGCAGCTGAGAACCCCACAGCACCCTGATTGAGAATCACTGGCTTAGATAAATACCCACTCTATTTGTAAGTTATAGTTTCTCCCAAATTTGCTTTCAGGAAAATTGTGCAGCTTTGCATCTTACAATATTAGCCATCAGGCCTGTCATTGACAGTTCCTGGGCAAACCACATGCTAAAGTCAGTAAGGCACCAGAATGGTTCGGCAGTTTGTAAGTAAATTGCCAGTTGCAGGACTGGGGGCTAAGAATGCATCTATGGTATCTGGGCTTTGGACAATATTTATCTGTAAGAGAAACTGAAAAAATATACTTCTGTCAATTGTTTTTTTAGCTTCATCTGGTCCACTGGAATTCAGATAAATATTCAAGCATAGCTGAGGCTTCAGATAAGCCAGATGGTTTGGCAATTGTCACTGTTTTTCTGAAGGTGAGTTACACGGCATACAGAAGACACTTTTCCTCTCTTCCCTCCGCCCCTCCTTTAAAAATTTGCTTTATTCCCCATCTTATCAAAATACTAAGATCTGTTCAAAGAGAACTAGAGAAGTAGCACCTACTTGAACTGAGACATGCTCCTTCTGACTATCCCTGAACATGTCTGTCGTCTAATCTTTGTCCATGTCACTGCATTTGTTTTTCCCCAAAAACCTATCCACACAAAACCCCTTAAACACATGCTTACTGGTATTATGTTTTGAACCCCTGGTTGGTTGTTAAAAATAGTTTAAAAAGTCATGTCATGGGCAAACACATTGTATCAGGCTGTGTTGGATCAAATACAAATTTATTTTGCTGAACACTTGGGAAGACTGCTTCTGATTTTATGTCTGAACCTTTGATCTGTTCCCCATCACCATTGTTTTACTGCAGCTATAACTACCTAGCTCTAGTTTTTATAGAGACAGGTAGTTAGCCATGTTAGCCATGTTAGTCAGAGGTCAGACAGAAGGCAGGGAAGAGGTTCACCTTATGAACTAGCTAAATCAGAGCTATATAAGCTTCTGTTACTCATGAAACCTTATGCATCTCTGATTCAATTAGTCTATAAGGTGCACCTCTACCCTACCTCCTGCCTACAGTATTCGCCATAAGGTTATTTCGATATGTATTTCTATAAAATGTTCTCTTCCAATCAGTGGGATGGTATTGTGGAATTGATGCCTGTAACTAAAATTAAACTTAAGAAAATCATAAATAAGCTAAAAAGGAAAAAAAATACAAGAGGCTGAACAATAAAGAGAGTTTAAGGGAAAAAGTATGTTCTTTGCCTGAGGAACAAAATGAGGCATCAGAAGACATGAGTTCTGCTCATATTTTTTATATGACCTTAGGCAAATTACTTGTACTCAACTGCTGATAGTTCATCTGCATGTAGAAAGTGTGTAATAAGGTACAGATAGGCTAATATTAACAAATGCTGGGAACATTCACTCACATTTTACCTTAGTCATATCTTCACTTGTTTTCACACAGCTTTGCGTGACCAACTTCTGCTGTTATGAACTGCAGCAAACGTAACTTTCAAGGTCACATTTACAAGTATTACTGGAATACACCTGTGAAAAACTTGTGCACAACAATTCATGTGAGAAGTATAAAAATAATACCATGTGACAAAATCTGGCCCTCACAAAAAAATTAACATAGTACAAATGCTGAATATCCAATAATAATATACGGATTCATAATCAGTCCATATCATAGGATTACAGAGAAGTAGGGCCAGAAGGTACCTCAAGAAGTCATCTAGTTCGACCCTCAGCTAGTTAAACCGAATGGGTAAAAACATGTCACTGTATGCCTTCAAAGAAAGAATATGTTAGAGGAAACTGATTTTCCTGCAGAGTAAGAGAATATACATGTCAGATAAATGATCAATTATAGCCAAATTCTTCCACTATTACTTGCATTAAGAAGAACTTTACTCTGCTAAGTAGTACCATTGATTTCAGTGTGACTATTTGCAGGGTAAATATTTCTTTCTTAAGCTAAATTTTCTCTAAGTGGGGTTGTAGGGCTAAACCAAATAATATTTGTGAAGCATATTCAGATCCTTATCTGGGAGGTGCTATGTTAGGACAAAATAAGTGTTAAACATTTATGATTTAACATTTTTATTGCTATTTTGATTTTTACAGGTTGGTCCCCCCAATGAAAAACTACAGGAAATTGTAAAGGCTTTAGGTGCAGTAAAGACCAAGGTAAATATCATTATTGCATGGTCACAGTGGACCATGGTCATAGTGAGAGGCTGGGGTAGAATCTAGCAAGTCCTCTCTAGAAGCAGAGGGGTATTGCCTACTTTAGCAGTTCATTCAGGACCAATATGATCTCCTAAATCTAGGAGTTGATACTTGCATCATGACCTTTTAAAAGTTTTCAGAAAACTAATTTACAGTATCAGAGCTCAATCCTGCAACGTACCAAAGGCTTGCTACAAAATGATAAGAGTACTGAATCCAGACAAGACAGATGATGGTGGTGGGCAGAACACCTGATTGGGACACCTATCTTTTACTTTTCAGCTCCTCTACATATCCATCCATCTGAAGTTTAGGTCTAGCAGTCATCACCAGAATATCCAAGCACTGATTGGACTAAATTTTGCCTCAACTCTTTAGTTTAATTGAAGACATATACACTCTCCAAATGCTTAGTGAGCATTTGGAGAGCTCACCAAATGCTTAAGTAAATTTAGAATATGAATTTTTGTATTATACACAAGACTTAAATCCCACAGGATTTGCAAAAGGTGGTAGGTCTGATCTTGCAAGGAATGAAAAACCTTGAGCCTGAATCCACAAAGTATTTGAGACTATGTGCTGTTTTATTAACTTCAATAGGGTTTCAAAGGCTTAAATTATATGCTTGTGTGCTTTGCTAGATGAAAACTATAGATTCAGAACCTGTATGATGAAGCCTATAAGAGAATACTAATATATTCAAATGAATCTTACTTTATTCTGACTTAGAAAGATAAATAAATTATGGAAGTAAGGCTGAATAAGTAAAATCTTATTGTGGACATTTTATCTATCTTTCTCATTAAATTAAATGCATCTTTTTAGGGAAAACAAGCTCCATTCACTAATTTTGACCCGTCAACCCTACTTCCTAAATCCATGGATTACTGGACCTACAATGGCTCTCTGACTCATCCTCCCCTTTATGAGAGTGTTATCTGGATTATCTTTAAGGAACCTATTACCATCAGCTCAGAGCAGGTATAGTACTATGAAGTAAACAAAATATTTCTTCGTACAGAAACTGAAAGACAGTATCATTTTATTATTTATGGTGTCCATCTTATTTTCAGCATAAAACCATGAAAGATTGCCTATATCAAGCACTAAATAGCATTTGATGGATCATTAAAGCTTTGATTCAGCAAAGACATGATGAGACTACTAATGTCCTTAAGGTCACACACATTTTAGGTTTTCTGAAGCATCAGATATTTTAAAACGTCCAACAGAGACAGCCTGAAATAACCAACCAATTGCCTTTTTCTGCCAGTCCAATTTTCTTATCTCAGTTCCCATAAAACTTTATGTCTTTCAAAACTAAAGTCACTCGTCCAGCCTTCATTTACTCAAGCAGGTGGACTTTGCAGCCTGCCCTAAGGTTACTGGATTCAGGCTATTTCAGATTGAAGTGGGAAATAAACGCCACTGTGAAGAGGTCCTCTGAGAGAAATGCCTGCCATAATTCTACTGATAAAAAAGTCATATGAAAAGATCTTGAATTGAAGGATGTTATATTAAAATATAATAAACCTCTGTGTAAATTGTTCTGTAAATCTTTTTGAAACAGTGAGATCCTTTATTATAGGATTTCTAATCTACCCTATAGAAGTTTATAACCAGGCTAAAACACTCCATTAATTTTTATGTAGTAGTTTAAGGATGTTATGTTGAAGGATGCCTATCAGTCTCTATTTTATTTTATAGGGCTAGGGAAAATATCATCCAAGTACGGTATTTTCCACCGCTGTCCTAAATTTTGGCATAGACTCTTTTCTGCTTCTGAATTGGCATCTGTCATTCTAGAGGTGGTTGTATCTCAGTATGTACACCAGTTTGTACAGTGCTCTTGGATCTTTTAAAATAAAAAGTACTGCATCTCTACAATATAATTGACCATCAAGAACCTTAACATTTATTTAAGGGATTATAAACTGTCCATTAATGTGTCTAATCAACAGCATTTAGGAACAAACAAGCATTTTAAATAAATTTTTTTAAAGCCAAATTAGGATTAAAATAGTTCTCTTGGAAGTTAAGTTTTACAGCATGAAAGACTTTCTATGATTTAACTAAAAATTAGCCATGTTTTAAAAATAAGACATTACAGTGTGCTTGCTGCCTGAGGAGGAATGAATGAAAACTTACTTTGTTTCTAAATGTTTTGCTAGACTGTTTGCTGGACAGCAATCGTCTTGCTGGGCAACCAACAGCTGATAAAGATTATTGCAATTGCTAGTGACAAAGGTGATAATATATAATAAATTGCCATATCATCATAATATGATCAGTAAACACATGTCCTGATTCAACACTGCTTAATACCAATTTTATGCAGACATTATACTATTAAGTGTGAAACCGGCCTAGGAAATACCATTTTTTTTCTTTCTAACCTACCATATTTAAGTTTGAAGTCAAACGTGTCTTTTTTCCCTCCTTTTAGCTGGCCCAGTTCCGGAGCATCCTATCTTCTGCTGAAGGTGAAACACCTTGTCCCATCTTGACCAATCATCGACTTTGTCAGCCACTGAAGGGCAGAGTAGTGAGAACCTAAAGACAGACAGTCAAGATGACTGACCAGGAGTGAAGCCATTTTATCCAAAGCAAAGTTCCTAAACATAACACCATGTAACAGTTCACAGGAATCAGGAAAAAATAAATTTGCTTTTAAGCTGCACTACTCAACCTGCCATGTGCTATTATCATTTCATTGTGCCAGTATGCTGATGTTTTACCAAAATGAATGTATGCGCCTCATGCATTATGGATCAAATACTTTTCAATCTGTGGATTTTAGCTGCTAGCATTTTAAAATATTTTTGCAATAATCTTAACATTTTTATTAAATTGGTTAAGTAGTCAGGTGTCAGGGTGGTGAGCAGCCACATAAAATAAAAACATGTTTGGAATCTTCCATGATTCAGCTAATGACTAGAAGATTCATAGTAAATGCTTGTGTTATTTTTACAAAGGAATCACTTCTGCTAATCTAAACCTTAGGCGTTACCAATGATTTGGCCAATGAAAACTGACATGCTTGTCCTTTCTATGTGTCTGACTTGTACTTTATTAAGCTTAAATACTAAGTATTCCTTTTTTCAAGAGAAATTGGGCAAGAAAGTCTGTTGCCTCAAAAAAACCCTTTTCCATCAGACCTGTTTATATCAATTGCCTAATGCAAAAGCACATATACAATGGAAAGTCCTGTACTCCCTGAGATATAGATGTTTATATTCATCAAGGACATGCTTTATTTCTATGTTCAAGAGGAAAACACCTAATTGAATGTCATGCGATCAGATTGCCATTTTCATTAACCACACAAACTCCTACTACCTTTTCACTAACTGCTGCAAATGAAGCAAAACCAATGTGGATCAGGGATTGTCAACCAGGGGTATGCATACCCTGGGCGGGTATTTGGGCCAGTCCTAGGGGATATGCTAGGATGGGTGGGGACAGAGCATCGCCACCTCCCAGGAGCAGGGCTGGGGTTGGGTGAGGGCATCAGCACTCCTCTGCAGGGTGGGGAAGCTTGACTGCTGCTGCCACACACCAGTCCAGTGAGCTTCCCTGCCCTGCAGAGAGGCACCGCTGCCCTCACCCCAATCTGATGAGCTTCCCTGCTCTGCCCCAGTCTTGCTCCTGGGAGGTAGCAGTGCTCCATCCCCACCTCCCCCGCTCATGGTTCAGCTGTACGCTAACCCCCCCCAACTCCCGCTCAGCATTCAGCCATGTGCTATTCCCCCCTGCCCAGCATTCAGCCACGCGCTACAATGCCCCTGCCCCTCCCCCCCGCCACTTGGCGTGCAGCCACTGGGGGTACTTAGACTAAAAAAGGTTGAAAACCCCTAATGTGGATGTTAGGTTTCTGAATACAAACCTGCAGAAAGAATAGCAAGATAGCCAACGAATCCCTCAGATTACTAAGACTTTCTTGTGAGCATTACTGAAACCACGTTGCATGTTGCTGTCTCACTGGAACTATTATTTCATTCATTTAACAGCTGTGTGTAGCATGCACAGATACATTTCTCATCTTTCTTTTTGATGGAGTAGTTGGAGAGACAACCTGCACTGATACTGCCTGAGTTAAATTGAAGTGTCTAGTGATCAAATGTTTTGACATTTTGCAGCAACTTAAGCATTCCTTGAGTTGGACAAATTCCCACCTACCATTTTCCAAGAGTATTGTTGATTGACTGTAAGCCCTGAAGAGCTCTTTTTCTAATCTTTTACCCCTCACGTATTATACCTGTCTAAAATAAAAGAAGCACTGCCAACCCTCTTCTCAGATAGCACATTAAGTACTACAGGATGTAACACCATCTGTCCCAACCACTACTTTTTTCCAGTCAAAGATATTTTAATTAATTCCTTACATTTTCCCAAAATAAACCTGACAGTTTAATAGAACAAATGAGAAATACAAAGTTAATGTTGTACCTGAATTGCTTGTGTGATTCTTGTGTTGGAAGACACCTATATTGAACTTTGTAAATAAACCCAGAGATTATGATGGGCGCATCTCAATCGCAGCCCAGCACCAAGATGGGGACCAGGCCCTGGCTTTGGCCTCATCCCAGCATTGCAGATGGCCCCAGTCCAGCAGTGGCACTGTCCTGGGATGAGGGTGGGGGGGTGGCAGTGGAGGTGCCGGCCAGGGCCGGGCCCACTGGCAGCACGTGGCTGGGCCCACCAGCAAGGCCTGCACAGGTTCACAAGCCTGGCCCCCAGCCCCAACCCCATCCCGGTGCTGCTGACGGCCCTGGCCCAGCAGCGGCAGTAGAGGTGCCAGCTGGGGCCATGCCCGCCGGCAGTGCCAGGATGAGGCCGGGGCCATCTGCAGCGCCAAGATGGGCCCAGGCCCCAGACTCATCCCAGCACTGCAGACATCCCCGGCCCACCAGCAACACTAGGCAGGGGCAGGCAGCGGCAGTGGAGGTGCCAGCCAGGGTGGGGCCCACTGGCAGCACATGGCTGGGCCCGCCAGCAGCACCGGAATAGGGCCAGGGCCCCGGCCCCATCCTGGCACTGACGATGGCCCCGGCCCAGCAGTGGCAGTGGAGGTGCCAGCTGGGGCCACACCCGTCGGCAGCGCCGAGATGGGTCCGGGCCCCGGCCTCATCCTGGCGCTGCCAATGGCGCTGCTGACGGCCCTGGCCCAGCTGGGGTGGCCAGCAGCGGTGGTGCCAGCCAGGGCCATCTGTAGCGCCAGGATGGGGCCAGGGCCTGTGCAGGTCCATGGCCCCAACCCCGTCCCAACACTGCAGACGACCCCAGCTCAGTGCTGGCAGTGGGTCAGGGCCCTGAGCAGTGATGCTGCTGGCTGGGGCCGGGCCGCTGGCAGCACGTGGCCAGGCCCAGGGATGGGGCCTGCAGTGGCAATGGGGCCGGGCTGCTGGCAGCATGTGGCTGCGCTGGGGATGGCCCCACAGTGGCAATGGTGCCAGCTGGGGCCTGCTGGCAGCACAGGGTTGGGGCTGGGGCCATCAGGGTGTAGATATGGCAAGGGATGGGGCCCGTGGCAGGCTGTGCTAGGGTTGGGGCCAGGGGCTTTGACCTGGCCAGTGTGGTCTGGGTGTTCCAGGGCCTGGGTCTGCTAGCTAATGCAGGGGTCGGCAGCAGCACAAGGCTGTTCCTGAGCAGCCATTTGCTGCTCAATATGGGCATGCCCCTTGGGGCGGGAAGCAGCCCACATGCCAATAAAAACCACACCGCCATGTTAGGCACACGTGCCATAGGTTGCCGACCCCTGATCTAGAGAAACAGGTTAAGCAGTTGAAAAATCCTTAGTGTCAGCTGTCTGTTGAAGTTTTGCAGATGGCTGTTATGCAAACGACAAAAGCAAAGACTTGAGGGTCCCTGTCCCCATTCCATGGAGATGGTCCCCATGGCTGCCATGGACAGAGGGCATTCCAGTAGCCTGTCTCATGTACCCCACTGGAGGGGGGCTGTAGGCCTTGGAACCCACCTCCAGACTATTGACACCTAAGAAAGAGGCTCAGAAGTGAAAACTACATCCTGGCCAGATGTACCTTGACTCTGATGACAGTCCTAGGATTGGTAGATATAGAATTGTTTGATTGTTTGTATTGTTGCTTTTTGTTATTGCTCTATATCCATAAACTTGCCTATTATCAACTGGCAGGTATTGTGGTCAGTCTGAGGGTTATGCTTGCCCGGAACAAAGGTATAGGGGCTGATTCCTAAAATTCAGTGCAACAATTGCCCACTCCACCAGGACACAAGGGTAGTAACCTGACCGATCAGGGAATTTGTTGATGCAGAGTAATCTCTTCTAGAGGGGTAGGCTAAGACTTGTAGTAAGGTACAGATGTATGGTAATTGACTAGGGTTGTAAGTGCTGTGCAGGAGATGTTATTTGTTACTGCTGACGAGGAGACCTTGTTTGTCTGGGTCAGGCAGTGTAGTGGACATGGGGATGTACTGTGGTCTGCTTGGGATTAAGGAAGAACCTCCTGTTTTGTTTGCAATAGGAAGCTAGAGAGCAGAGAAAGTCATCATCTCTGTGCTGGAAAAGCTGTGTTAATGAACAGGACATGGTCTTTTGACTCTAAGGTCCTTGGGAAGGATTACAGTCTTTTGCAGATGGTTACAAGAGCAGTCTTGCATGTCTGTAAGGTGTAAGTTACAAGTGCAGGTTATGGAAAGGTAGAGTGTTACTCAGGTGGTGCAGCTTCAGAAAGATCAGAGACAGAGGAATGTGAGACAGATACTTCAGGATCCCACGTGGACTGGAAAATAGAGGCAGCAGGTGGTACAAAAAAAGACAAGGTATGTTACTAGACATCTAATCAGGCAGTGGCAGACAATTTGTGATTGGAAGTGAGGAGAGAAACTTGGTTCTCCACCCCTCCCCCTGCCCCACTAAACAGTGAAGAGCCCAAAAAAGATTGTTATAGGAGTATAACATCTTGTTTTGGAAAACATCAGTATACAGCTGTGTAAACAGAGATCAGTGCCCAGAAGTTACTCTGGGCAGAGAAAGGAAGAGTGAGGTTATCAGAGATATGTTTTATTTTGTTTTGCTTTTCTCTAGCGATGCATGGTTTGGGGGTTTGTTTTTAGAGGTAGGAAGAGCTTCTCCAAGGAGATTGTGTGCGGTATGTAATCCGTCACACACAATCTTACAGGGGGAGCTTTCATGGTCCTAGAACGAAGTTTGCTGGCTTGTGTGTGTGTTGTAAGAACTGACAAGCTGTGAGGGAAAGATCAAGATTTGCTGGATGTATTGGTTTGCAGAGAGCAAGACAAGAAAGGGGCCACTGATGAGAATGGATTGTGAAGCCTGTAGACCAGAAAGGATACAGTTAAGATCTGGGAAAGGAAAGGAAACCTGGAAGTTAGGTAAGACCAGAACAGGAGAGTGGAGAGTTTGGTCCTGGGTCTGACCTGAAACTGCCACCCTCTTGGGTGTGGCCAGTGTAGTGGAGCTACCCATAGCAGGGTAGTTTCTGCAAAATGCCACATAATAATCACTCTGGGGAATGGGCAGGGGCAAATACAGGGTGCCTTAAAACCCTAGCTGCCGCCGCCTTGTGGGTTACCCATTGGGAAAAGGCTAGGGGGAGCATACCCCGACAGAAAAACCCTTGGTGAAGACCAAGGAAAAGAGACATGTGGCAGAAATACACCTTGGTGC